TGAGGGGTGCCCGTGGGGGGCAGGGCTGAGGGGTGCCCGTGGGGCGCTGGGCAGAGTGCCGGAGGAGGGCAGGGCCTGGCTGTCTTCCTGGCAGTGACAATGCCCGGGGCCCCCTTCGCCGTGGTGTGGTCAGGGGTCCCGCCCAGGTTTTCCCTCCCTGCCCTGCCGCCAACATCCAACCTCCTTCTTCCCAACACACAGGCAAACCCGGCTTTGTGCGAATTCCCGGAGGCCGAGCCGAGCCGCTCTCACCAGTCCGGACGCGCCCTTCCCACTCCCCAGCCCCACCCCCGCCCCGCAGGTCGGCCTCTTCTGGGTGTTTGCCACTGTGTCTGCCGAAGGCCAGCCTGCCCTGCGGCCGGTCCTGGGCGGCTGCTGGCGCGCCTCGTCCTGGCAGTTCTGCAGTGAGGGGCACCCCCGCCTGGCTTTATGGTGTGGCCTGGAGGCCCCTCCGAGGCAAAAACACGAGTCAGAGAACACTTCCAAGGCGCTGCCGGGCACACTGGGTGAGGGAGCCGCCGGGGTCCCTTTCTGCTGGCTCCTGGCCGCCACCTCTGTCTCCCGAGTCAGAAGGTCCCATCTAACTCGGGAGACAGAGGTGGTGGCACAAAGCCGTGGTGCCTCTGCAAGCCCCAACTCCAGAGGTCTCTCTGGGGCCGAGTGGCCGCTGCCTGCCTGTGGGCTTCTCTTCCTGGTCCGAAAGTGTAAATGTTGGATGGAGTCTGGTGCGGTGACCAGAGGAGAGATACGGGCCTGGGAGAAAGAATTCCCGGGCCCAGGGAGGCAGAGCCTCCAGGTGCTGGACTGGACGGAGGGAAGCGGGGGCGGGCGGTGGAGACAGAGAGACAGAGAGAGAAAGAGAGACAGAGACAGAGAGACACAGAGAGAAGAGGAGAGACAGAGATGGGAGGGAGTGCCAGTGAGTCAGAGCCTTTCCGGGTGTTCAAACCACCGTAGGGAACTTCACGGGGTGGCTTGAGAGCAAACTAAGCCAGCGGAGGAGGTTTCACAGTGACTCAGTAGCCAGTTAGCAATGTGTGAATTCACGTTTTCTGGCGAAGCCTTCATAACCCCCCAATCACACAACTAATAATTCAACACATGCAGGCAATTCATAGAAAGGGGTGCCCCCGCGATGCATGTATTGAAAGGGGTGCACTCATGATGCAGGTATAGAAAGGGGTGCCCCCGCGATGCAGGTATAGAAAGGGGTGCACTCATGATGCAGGTATAGAAAGGGGTGCACTCATGATGCAGGTATAGAAAGGGTGCCCCCGCGATGCAGGTATAGAAAGGGGTGCCCCCGCGATGCAGGTATAGAAAGGGGTGCACTCATGATGCAGGTATAGAAAGGGTGCCCCCGCGATGCAGGTATAGAAAGGGGTGCACTCATGCAGGTATAGAAAGGGGTGCAGTCATGATGCAGGTATAGAAAGGGGTGCCCCCGCGATGCAGGTATAGAACGGGGTGCCCCCGCGATGCAGGTAGAGAAAGGGGTGCCCCCGCGATGCAGGTATAGAAAGGGGTGCCCCCGCGATGCAGGTATAGAAAGGGGTGCAGTCATGATGCAGGTATAGAAAGGGGTGCACTCATGATGCAGGTATTGAAAGGGGTGCACTCATGATGCAGGTATAGAAAGGGGTGCCCCCGTGATGCAGGTATAGAAAGGGTGCCCTCGCGATGCAGGTATAGAAAGGGTGCCCCCGCGATGCAGGTATAGAAAGGGTCCCCCCGCGATGCAGGTATAGAAAGGGGTGCCCCCGCGATGCAGGTATAGAAAGGGTGCCCTCGCGATGCAGGTAGCCAGTCCCAGGTTTCTTGAGACGTCAGGTCAGCTGGCAGTGAGGTTGCCGTTTCTCTTGGGCAGACCTTTTGCAAGGCTGAAAGAGTTCCGGGGCAGACTGGCCCCCTGGGATGGCCTGAGCCACTGGTCACTGCCTCAGCCCAGGCGCCCACTCTCTGTGGGCTTCTCTCAGGTTTCCGTGGTGCCCGCAGCAGCCGTTCTCACCACTGGGTCGGCAGTTTGCTTATCCCTTTGAGGGAGGGAAAGGGCATCGCTACGGCTTAATGCTTTGTTTCTTTCCAGATGGAGTCTCATTCTTGTCGCCCACGCTGGAGTGCAGTGGCGTGATCTCGGCTCACTGCAACCTCCACCTTCAGCGATTCTCCTGCCTCAGCCTCCTGAGTAGCTGGGATTACAGGCACCTGCCACCACGCCCATTTAATTTTTGTATTTTTAGTAGAGATGGGGTTTCACTGTGTTGGCCAGGCTGGTCTTAAACTCCTGACATCATGTGATCCACCCATCTTGGCCTCTCAAAGTGCTGGGATTACAGGTGTGAGCCACTGGGCCCGGCCAGCTTAATGCTTTTTGACATGAGTGACTCCATTCTGAGACATCAGGCTCACAACTGTTCGGGTAGATCTCTCCCTGGCGCTCTCTCATCTCTCCATCTGTCTCTGTCTGCTTCTCCCCACGTGCTTTGTCCACTGTCTGTGCTCCCCCCTGTCCCCTGCCTCTGCCTCCTCTCCTCACATCCTGTACAGCCCGAGGCTCTGGTCTGTGCCGGGGGTGGCCTGTGAAGGGAAAAGGACAGAGGGTGCTGGGACCTACGGATGCTGCTCCTCCCCAGGGACCATCCCCTTCTCTCACGCATTCCCTCGGCCTAGCAGGGACTCCTTCTTCAGTTTCCACAAACCACCCCCAGCTTTCAGAGTCTGGAAGCCTTGGGGGGTGGTGCCTCAGACGTTCTAAATCAGCCTGTGCAGGCCTCAGGCTCCCAGGCATCCCAGGCAGCCTTGGGGCCCAGAGAGGCAGGCACCTGCTGAGGCAGCACAGCAAGGGGCGGGGAGCACACAGCCAGGCCCCCAGTCAGACCCTGTGCTCCCAGATGGCTTTTTCCCAGGCCAGAGGAAGCACCCCAGGGCAACTATCCCAACTGCCCCCTTCCCCAAATATGGCGCTTTCAACACCTGTTCTCAGTCCCAGAAATTATAAACTGAGACATGGCAGAGCTGCTGTTAGAACCCAGGTCCCCTGGCCCAGGCCCCGGTCTCTCTGTCCAGTTCCAGCAGACACGAGAGAGCAGCATCCCAGCCCACAGGCTCGCGCCTCAGCCACGGTGAGTGAGGGGCAGTCAGGTGGGGACTGGAGCCCTGCCAGTGGCCTGGGTCCAGGGGCCCCTCACTCCCCGCACAGCCCACCGCCTCCCGAGCCCTCGCCCCGTGGTCTTGCTGTTGAGGAGGTGTGTTGTATGCACAGCTGCAGCAGCAGCGCAGAGGGGGATGGCAGTCGGTCACACAGGCTCGGGTGTGCGTGCAGAACCAGAGGACGCCTGGACTTGAATACCAAGGGGATAGTGTCCTGAGACAGAGAGTCAAGATGAAGGCCAAGGACAAGATCAGATCCAGGGTGAGAACAGCCACATCACCTCTAGAGGAGGAGGATCGAATCCAACCCCATCAGCCAAGACTGAAGGAGCAAAGACCTGCAGGCAGAGGAGAGAACACTAAGCAGAGGGGCTCCGAGAGCAGAGGCGCCCAGGGGAGGCCTCGGACAAGGCTGGCAGCAGCAATGCCCAGCAGAGATGGAGGCCAGACCAAAGCCAAGGCTAAGCCAGGAAAGGTGAGAGCACAGGCTCGCTGGGTTCTGGGCCTCCATGACAGACCCCTGGGGTGATTTGGGCCACACCTGGGGTCAAGCCTCTTGGTCCAAGGGTCTAAGTTTCTCACTAAGTCACATCACCCCGGTGCGTGTTACCCCCATCTAACTTGGGACAGGGCCAGAAACCTTGGAGCTGACTTTTGTGTGTGTACCTTTTGTAATTTTTTTTTTTTTTTTGAGATGGAGTTTCGCTCTTGTTACCCAGGCTGGAGTGCAATGGTGCAATCTCCGGTCACCGCAACCTCCGCCTCCTGGGTTCAAGCAATTCTCCTGCCTCAGCCTCCCAAGTAGCTGGGACTACAGGCGCGTGCTACTATGCCCAGCTAATTTTTGTATTTTTAGTAGAGACGCGGTTTCACCATGTTGACCAGGATGGTCTTGATCTCTTGACCTCGTGATCCACTCGCCTCGGCCTCCCAAAGTGCTGGGATTACAGGCTTGGGCCACCGCGCCCGGCCTGTAATTTATTGTTATTGTAGTAAAATATACAGAACATAAAAGTTGCCATTTTGCCCACTTTTAGGCATGAAGTTCAGGGAGGTTAAGAGCGTGTGTGTCTGATTTCACTCACACGATGTCGCCAGGGTTCCCATGGTACAGTGGTGCCAGGGTTTCCTTCCTCTTGGAGGCTGAATTGTATACACGTATGTTCCACGTTTTGCTTACTCACTCCTGGACTGAGGACTTAACATTGTACTGACATTAGTGCTGCCCAGAGCAATCCAAGGTTCTGTATCATCCCCGTCAGAATCGCAGCGAATGCTTCGGCCGCTTCCACCTTTTGGCTGTTGCGATTAATATCGCTGTGGACATGGGGGTACGAGCATCTGTTTGAGCCCCTGCTTTCAGTTTTTGGGGTAGGCGCTCAGAAGTGCAATCTTTGCATCCTACGGTAATCCTATGTTTAAGTCTGTGGGGAGCTGCCATCCTGGTTTCTACGGCAGAGCCCACCCTATGCCCAGGCCGCATGGTGAAGCCCATTGCTCTAGGCTACAAACCCAGACGTCAAGTTACTGTACCGAACACCATAGGTAACTATGACAATGGCACGTGTTTACAAAGCTAAACAAACCCAGACGTCAAGTTACTGTGCCGAACACCGTAGGTAACTATGACAATGGCACGTGTTTACAAAGCTAAACATAACTAAACACAGAAACAGTACAAATACAGGAGAAAAGATAAAACATGCTACACCCATAGAAGGCACTTAGCATGCGTGGGGCTGGCAGGAGGGGCGGTCACTCTGGGTGAGCCAGTGAGTGACAGGCGACCACAGGCCTTCTGTAGGCTTTCCAACGCTGTACATGCAGGGTTCACTGAATTCATTTACTGGACATGATCGTACGTGCTGGGCTGTGTTGTATAAAACTGGCAGTGCGGCAGGTCCGTTCACAGCAGCGTCGTCACACACACGAGTAACGGGCCGTGCTGTGACGTGACAGCGGCTGTGTGGGGTCCAGTTTCTCCGCATCCTTGCCAACGCTTGCTCTGGTCTGTGTTTTTGGCAGCAGCCACCCTAATTTGCATTTTTAGCACAATGAGTTGTGCTGTGACGTTACAACAGCGACCAGGTCAGTAGACAGTAGGAATTTTTCAGCTTCATAATCATCTTATGGTTTTTATGTTATATATAGAGGTCTATGTATCTACCTATGTATAGGTTGATTTTAAAGAAATGGCTCATGCAAATGTGGGGGCTGGCAGGTTTGAAGCGTGCGAGGCGTGCGGGAAGCTGCAGACCCAGAGAAGGGTTGATGTCTCAGTCAAGGCAGCCTGGAGCCAGGATTCCTTCTTCCTCCGGGAACTCAGTCTTTTTCTCTTAAGGCTTCTACTGATTGGCTGAGCACCCACCCACAAAGCAGAAGTCTATAATTTACTTTACCAGAAGTCTAAAATATATGTTTCCAGTAACATCTAGACTAGTATTTGACCAAATACCTGGGGAATGTGGACCAGCCTAGCTGACCCATCAAATGAACACTTGAGCTTCCTCACACTGGTGTGACCCACTGTACACTGTTGGTCACGTGGTGGAACTCAGCCTTCTCCTCTGAGAGGCTGGGGCAGGAGCTGAATGTCCCAACCCTCTAATCCCATGATTGATGTGTCTGGTGTGGTCATTCCTTCCTTTGAAAGAAAGAACTTCAGCTGGGGAAAAAGACCAGAGACATTCTTTTTTTTTTTTCCCCCATTTATTTATTTTATTGCATTTTAGGTTTTGAGGTCCATGTGAAGACCATGCAAGATTGTTGCATAGGTACACACGTGGCAGTGTGATTTGCTGCCTCCCTCCCCATCACCTACATCTGGCATCTCTTTATTGTATCACAGTGCCTCTGTATTTCAAGTGCGCCTCTTAGAGACGGCCCACATTTGGGTCTCGCTGTTTGCCCTCGGTCTGACGACCTCCGCTTTGGAAACCTGAACTGTTCAGTCTGTTTGCAGTCAGTGCGTTCACTGGTGTGGCCGTGGGGACATCTGCCCTCCTGGTGTTGTTTCCATCTGTCCTTTCCGGTTTTGTCCCTCCATGCTCCTTTTGTTTTTCCTTTGGTATTAAGCAAATAATTAGTATTTCATTTCATTTCCTCCATTGACTTGTCATTATACTCTGCATTGGCTGCTCCAGGGATAAAAATTCAGGCTATTGACTTAACAAACTGTGTAGAGTAAATTTTATATTGTTTTGCACTCCTCACTCCTATTAGGCAGGGTGCCCTAGCGGGACAGAACTAATAGTGTGTGTGTGTGTGTGTGTGTGTGTGTGTGTGTGTGTGTGTATGAATTTATTAAGTATTAACTTACCCAATCACAAGGGCCCACAACAGGCTGTCTCAAGCTTGAGGGGCAAGGAGGCCAGTCCGAGTCTCAACACTGAAGACAGAAG